CGACAAACACAAAAGGGCGAAGAACAACATCATGCAGGCGTCATCATTATTGCTCAAAGCGTGCACCTGGGTTCCCACGGGAATGTGCCAGAATGCTCGGAACTCCTTCCATGCTGAGGGTAGGTCCCTAGTGGCCCTAGTTCATCCCATGCAACCTTGCCGAATTGGCAAGGCCTTTGTTTTGCTTGCACGAACGCATGAAGAGCCACTGGCGCTCGTGATAGCGATGAAAGCCGTTTGGCTCAGTTCAGTGGATCACTTGGTGCGTGCCCAGGGTGGTAGGAATGAACCCAGGGGTCCCACTAAAGGAAATCACAAGGGGTTGTTTCTACAGGTCAGGTCTTTGATGCCTATCATGTTCTTGCTTAGCTCACCTTTCGCAGAGCGGGACACCCTCATTTCCCAACACTTGCCAGCCATGGGGGAAAAACATGGCAGTCATTGTTCGTCTGCTTTCCAAGTGAAACCTCCCAGGAAAAGGTACCAACAAAAAGAACTCGCAACCAACAGGTCTAGAGGCTCCGAAGGCCCGGACATTCCGCCGGCTTTTTTTCGGCCACGGTGCATTGACCAAGTTCTTCATGAGCACGTTCGATGCGTTCTTCGCGCGGCAGCTGCCCGTCTCCTGGTTCGTTCTGGGACCCCAGGCTTGGGGAGTCAACCCGGTTGGAGATGTTGAATCAACATGTGGCCCCGCTCTGGCCCCTTGCAGTTTGATGAACAGGTGGTGAGAAGGGAGAGGAAAACACTGAATTTATGAGCTACACCAATAATCGAGCAGTTGATATATATATATATATATACGCAACTGCCAGCTTGCGGCGCACTGTCCCCGTTTCTCCGCTTGCGCTCTGCATGCCCCATTCGGGGTCTAAGCTTTTTTCAGGCAGCCTGGCATCCTGGCCAACAATCATAACAGCGCCAATGATCTGAGCAAAACAACATAGCTGCTTCAAGCCAAACTGAACGTCTTCGACAAGTCTCTGCCTTCAAATTTAAGCTGCTGAATGATGGGGTGAATCATCTAATTGCCAATCAAAGGCCCACTGTTTCTGTGCGGCAGTGGACCAACACCCTTGATATGGGGAGGCATAGTCAAAACTCTTATGGGCCCTGTTCATTACTTGGTTGACGTTGGAAGGGGAGCAAAAATTTAAATTTGAGCAGTTAAGTGGGGATTTCCCACTAAACCACAATAAGCAAAAATGTAAAATGTTTCCCAACGACAACCATGATTATTCCTTCCTTGATTCCTGCCACCCCAATGCAAATATCCATATCCACCCTGGCAACCCCAAAGCCAATCAGCTTTTTGACCATGGCACAAAGGGTGGCGGGCCCATTCTTAGCGGTCATATCCCCCACCTGGAAACTGCACAGCACCCTTTCACACAGAACTTCCATACAACAGCAAACTTGCTAGTTGTTTGATCCTTTATAATGAATTCGTGGGTACCAGGATTTCATTTGGACCCAAATCATATTCAACCCGAGCCCCTGATTCTCAATGAAGGGACATCTCAAATTTGCTCAAGGAAATCCAGTGACCCCACCCAACCCCAACAACCAATCTGCATCCCAACCTCAACCTTCGCGCATTCTGGGCCGTTTGGGACCCGGATATCGCTTAGGGTACTGCAAGTGGCAACTGCAAAAGCTTGCCCCGGCGCACGTGGAAGATGTCAAACTCCAAGGCTACCCTCAGAATTTCCGGTACCCCCCCCCCCAAAAAAAAAAGGCTGACGAGGAAGTGATACCCAAAGGTTTGGTGGCTCCCATATCCTCAAAACGGGGGGGAAGGGGGAAAAAAATGACCGGCTGGCCCGTCCAGCATCGCGAAGCCGGCGTGCATGAACATCACCAGGGCGCCGCAGAGGCAAAGCCACAGGGAGTCCAAAGCCTAGCGAAGAAAAACACAAAACGCGGGGAAAAGCGAGGAAAGGGAAAAGTGGGGAAACCAAAAAGCCAGACAAACGGGGAAAACGGATTGGGAATGTTGTTTTTGTCTCCGACCTGTGTAGGGTTCCTTTTTTGGACCTTGAGGGTCAGGTTGTTTTTGACCTGGTCAAGGGTCTCTTGAAACTGCCCGCTTTCAGGAGGATCTCTCTTTTTGAGCCTCAACTTTCCATGGCGTGGAAGGTGGCATGGTCAGAAACTGGAAGGGATGAGCGATGAGGTCCAGAACATAAGCCATGCTGCGCGTCAGTTTGGGACCGGACCGGTTGCGGCCCCACTAAACCCAGTCAAACATATAAAGTACCCTCTTTCCAACATGGAAGTGGACAGGGAGCTCCCGCAAAAAAAAAGTAGTCTTCCGCAACCCTTATGTCAGATTCGATTGGAAGAAAGGTACTCTCATGCAGCAAAGGCACTCCCGTGAAACCGTAGTCAGTCGCTTGCAAGGAAGCGAGGGTTGTGGCGTAGGTTGCCCTTGGCAGCATGCAACCGTGGACCCACCACGTTGTCGTTCCCCGAAAGCTTGGGCTACAAAACAACCAGATTGCAAATCGATGCTTGGCCAAAACAACGCCCATATATAAACACCCGCCCGCCCCGGAAATTCCATGAAATCCGCCTCCAACCTGCCCCGTTGAGTGGTGGAAATCTGCTTCGTTTCCACTACATGATCAAATCCAAAGGTTGTTCATGCCAGCAAAGTGCAACACATTCCATCCGTGTTACGGCGCCGATACCATACGTGCAAAACCACACCCAGGGGTTCAGCTACCATTTTTTAAACAAATGGTTGGGGTCATATATAACCACCATTGTTTACCGTTCAGGATTGTCATCCACTTCGGGTCAACCCTTCTTTTAATGGCCGCAAGGACCCTAGAAAATCCCGATTGAACCCCAGAGAAGCCTACTAGGTCCTCCAGTAGAAAGGTTAGGATAAGGGTACTCTTTTTTCCGTAGTCTATTTTGGTGGGGGAACCCTCCCCCCAAAAAAGGAACGGTAAATGTTGGCACCTAGCCAGGGGACCTAGCCTATGCACCCCCCTCTTTCAGGGGCAAGGAACTTTGGACAAGCCCGAGGAGTTCCATGGCCAGGGATTTTCCACATCCCGGGCCCCAGATGCAAAAACCGAATGCCAGTTGCTTCTGGCCGGTGGAACATGAACGTGGAATCCGCCCCCAAATCTCCAGGACACACCCTTCGTGTTTCCGGGCTGCCCTCAGAAATCTCTTGCTAAAAGTTTTTAACTTTCAGTGGGTGAAATGGACACCCAACCACTCAACCAGCTAAAAAGGCATGAAAAAGCAAAGGAACCGGATGGCTGGGAGCCAGGGTTTGATTCAATGAACCCCGTGGATAGGCAGTCGCTCCTCAGGCGACAGAAAACGCCAAGCCAGGCTCAGGGCTCTTGACACTGGGTGTCTCTGATTGGAGGGTACCCTGATTTTTGGTGGTATGGGGAAACCACACGGAACACCGCAACCCATTTTTGGGGGGCGTCCCCTACCAAAAAGACCAGCGAGCCACCCACCTTTCTGGTACTGGAATGGCAAAGATCCATCTGCCAACTTCGGGACCAAACCCAAGCAAGAACGGGTGGGATTTTCCACTGCCAATACAAATCTGAGCAAGCTATTCTGGGCTGTTCTCAGATCCCCTGCTAAAAGTTTAACTTTTAGTGGGTGAAATGGAACCCCCCACTCAACCCTAAAGGTCTAAAAGGCTAAGGGGATGGCTGGGAACCACCAAGTATTGCCTAAGTGCAAATATCAGCAACTCGTCAACAAACCTCACAATACCTTCAGAGCTATGTCGGAAGTCTATCAGTGGCTGGGCGCATTTTGCCATGAACAAAATGCCCCAGGCGCCTGCTTGCTGTCACGTGACTTTCTCGGTAAAAGCAATTGTAACAGACTGCCAAATGGCCAGGTCCTAAAATTGAAGACTCTTTTGAATGATCTTCAAGGAAAATCGAAAAGAAGCCAGCAATTTGCAAGGGCGCCATTCTAGGGAAGCACCCACAGAAATTCAAACAACATTGCCACCACTCTATCCCTGACACCTGTCTGCTTGCCAAGAGTCGCATCCACGCCTCAGCTAGTGCTGTCTGCTGTTGAACGCAGGGAGTGAGAGAGCAGCGCCTGTTACTCAAATGCCGATCTGCAACTGCAATGGGGTTCAAGAGCCTAGGTCAATTTTCGGACAAAGACATGGCACTCACCTCCAAACTCAAAAAAAACAGCGACATCTATTTTCAACCAAACAGACAACTACGTTCAGGACCCATGATAACAAGCTGAAACAAAAAAAATATGAATCTAGCAACACCGTTTCAAGGACCATCGCTCTAGGTGCGTGTGATGGACAAGCCACTCTGCAACCCTCACCCCTGGGTTGCAAGCCTCAAGATGCCTCAAGGATGTCATTGCAAAAACATGTGTTTTTTCAGCTGGCCTCAGAAGATTTTGGGCTCACCTCGCTCCCGCTTGGGTCGTTGCCCAACCCCAAAGGGCCCAACCTTTTGCGGAACTGCAAAAATCCTCAAATTGCTAGCTGGGACCAAGTGACATCAACACATATTGTATCTGAAATTGTTTTTTTTTCAAGGGACACCCAAACAATATTTTTTTGAGGGCTGCCCTCACATCCCCCGCTGAAAGTTTAACTTTTAGTGGGTTAAATGGACACTAAAAGGCTAAAAAGCCAAGGAACCGGATGGCTGGCTTCGCCACCAAGTTTTGAGAGGGATCCTTACATTCTACACCTGAACATTGCCTTGCAAATGGTGGTTTCCAACTTTGTTTGGGTGTTGAAAAAGCCATGTTTCAAATGGACAACATGTATCTTTTAAGGAGCCCTGTTTGAGACGGGGATTTTCCGGGACCTAGTTCCGCTGCGATTCCTCCGAGCTGCTGGTTTGCAGCCTTCGCGTGCTTTCGAGCTCCGCAAGGCGTGCCACTTGTCCTTCGAGCGGATCAAATGGTCATATGAGGCGTGGCTCAAAATGAAACAGGAGGGGTTACGCAGGCTTTGGTCCATGCTTCCACTTACCAGGCTTCCATTTTGGTACCGGTTGTTTGAGCCACCGCCATATGGGTGGCTCCTCCTTTTTTGACCGTCTTTGTTGCTTATGGTTCTAAAGGAAAACCAATAGAACCAGCCATATGGGGGCTCTAAAGAAACCATACCACTCTTATTACCCGTCCGGTGCAAAAGCCCTGTCAGACTTAAGTAGACATTTTGCCCTTGGGAAAGAAAAGCAAGACAGCGCAACACCAGTTCTGAAGCCTTTTGGTCTCATGTTCGGGTTCGGAACCCAGGGGGCTGACTTGGGAACATCGACTGAATTGGCCCGTCTTGATCTTTGACGAGCTCTGCGCTGGACCTTCTTCAAGACACTTGATTCGTTTGTACTACTTCTGGACTTCTGATATTTCAACCATGGACTCTGGGTTGGAAGTCTCACTACGTGGCAAACCCGGCGCTTGACGCGCTCACATCTTGGAACGGGCGTGTAGCCAACCTCATAACTCAGAGGGCTGTGTGATAGCCCAGGTGAAACCTTGCTGAATACTGTGGTTGGACGAAATCCTGCACCACTTTGAAACAATGGGAAACCGGTAATGGCTTTTGTATTTGCAGGGGATTCATGATGCCAGGTTTCTTAAATGGTGCAAGATTTCGTCCATCCACAGTATCAAGGAGTCGGATGAAACACACGGCCACTCGGAGCGCTGATCTGACTAAAGCCTGCGTTACTGAAGCGCAATAACTCAAACAAACCTGCGAAACAATCTCCCTTCAAGCAAATTGTGTTGCTCATTTGCTCAATACCAAACCACGAGTCAATGAGTAGCACACCTCATCAACGTCCCCGACAAATTCAACAACTCCGAACAGCCCATCCAGCCTTCGATGGTTGCACGATTCTCAGCAACTTGGCTTCGCAACGCCTGGCGCAGGAAAGCGCCAGCATCGCTCTTGCATAGATCTCAAAGCCTCAATATTCCACTGTGCTCCAAAATGCAGTTGGCAAGCAGTGCAATATGCATGTTACAAGGTGGACACTCCTTCAGACTCGTTCCCTCCAGACATGATGGAAGTGGCTCCAAGCAGGGCTTCAAGCGACCTGGAGAAACGTTTGCTCCGCAAACAACTGGCAAAACATTGGCGCAGCCGCCCGCCGAGATTGACAAAATGTCAAACTTGACAGCTCCCTCATGAACTCCTGTCATGCGCTTGGCTCCACACGACTGCGGGCCTCGAGACTTGCCCGGAATTCAGCCGTGAGGTCTTCCGCGGGCATGCCGCCGACCATCGCCAAAACTGCGCATGTTGCGAGTCCTGACATGAGCGGAGTACATTCTGGGTTTGGTTCAAACAAAAGCTCACTGCGGCATGTTCAGATTGAACATGTCCCCATCCCGCCTTTGTTGTGGTGTTTCGGGGTGAACATCGCATAGCCCAAAACACTTTCTTAAAATTGAATGTTCACACATCTAAGATTGTGTGCTGCAAAGTCTATGACGTTGTTCTTCGGGCCTCCAAATTGACGATAAGAGTATCAAACGCAATGCTGGCTAGTGAAAGGTTTCATTGCTCCCACAAAGCAAACCAACTCCTCATTGCTCTCGTCACAAATTGATTTTTGTCCAATTAGACTTCACACCTGTAGCTAAAATGTTGGCATGCTGTATGCGGCTTGTGCATCAAACCTTTGTCAGGACAAGAGATTGCGACATTTAATCCCAAACAAATTGTCGGCTTCATTAGGGAAAACATACGCCGAAGGAGGTTTCCTGGCATATGCCGGGATGCCCCAGAACACCCTGGAAACTTCCTGGAAGCTGCCCAAAACCTTTCCGAAACCAAACACAACCGGCCCACATAGACCCCCCCCCAATTCGACGGCAAATCCTCCAGAGAGTCGGCTCCAAATGTCCAAAGGGGCGTGGTGCCCGCAACCACACAAAAAACGGGGCCCGATTCCTCAGGAGCCCACATCTTACACCACATTCCAGCAGACAACCCAGAAATTCTACCCCGGAAGATCAAACAACAAGTACCAATACATGTTCGGTTGCCCACATTTCCCCCAAAAGCAAACGCGTGAACCGAAACTGCCCAATAAATACAAATCATTGCTCACCGGAACTGTCCGGAACCCTCGGCTACCCCAAAGCAGATCCAAGTATCCCCGGATTTGGGATGGCTGAGCTCACTCAAATCACACTAAGCTCCTTCGGAACTTTCTGGAAATTCTAGTAGTATCGTAGAGAGCGTTTTTTTGCTCTGCCAGCCTCATTAATCTCGGACTTTGACCTGCCCCAACCTGCCCCGAAACCGATACCAATAGCTGAAGACCCTGTGCTACCACCATTGGAAGGATGGGCTACTCAATATGCTTTAATCATACCCAAAACCCAAAACAACAGCTTTGACTGTGCGAAGCAATTAGACGCGGCCCTGCCAGATTTCATCTCAGTCCTCTCATGGCGATGTCTGCAGATTTCTGCACCAAGGAGCAGCAGAATATAGCAGCTGAGGTTAAGCCCAAAGGCCGGCGATCAATGTCAGGAAGAGGCCAAGGCCAGTACGCTTCTCCATATCAAACATGGTGATTCACGCTAGCAAACAGGTACAATAAACAAGAACGCGTCTTAATGTCGGCACATGATTGACATACCCCAGTGCCCCCCAACTACTGCCCAATCGACGCTGGTTAGAACTTTTAAAATGGGATATAAGCTCGGGTTTTAAGTGTGGGAAGCAACGGAAGTTTTGGCTAACTACCGTTTTCGTGAGAAAAAACGCGGAACTACCCCCAAATGGTCGGCAGTCAAGCGTTTGTAAGAACAATGCTGGTTGGGGGGTGCTGATTTGATTAAACTCGCCTGATTTATTTCTTTCTGACTGCCAGCCAATACTACTTTAGAGGCACTGACAAGGTTTGGCCAAAAGACCTTGAATAATTTCTTGGCACTGCGCAAATGCCCTCTAATTAAAGATCTCCTGATTGAGACGTCCATTTTCCTTTTACTTTCCTATTGCAGTCCTATTGGCCAAACAGGGGTCCACCCAGGAAAGGACCGGAGAGGACAGGCTAGGTCCGGATGAACCCGACGGAGCAAGGGGTGCGCACGGTTGAGCTCAATGATTTCTCAGACTTACATTTGCCAGGAACGCGCAGTTCACAATGCGCTCCAAACTCCTCTTGGGAGTGAATCCTATGGAACATGACGTATGGACGTATGGTCGAACCTAACTAAAACCTGAGAAAGGGAACCCCAAACGCACTCGGTGGTTGCAAGTGAAACTCATTGCAAATGATCTGCCTCGCACCTGTCCAACGGTAGCTTCCCATTCTTTCCAGTAGTCCTTCCAGAACCGGAACATCACCAACAACCAGTGGAAACAAATGCAACACAAATTGCAAACAGCAGGCTTGAGCTTGGTAAACCCAGCACCAACAAAACAAAATAAACCCCAGTGGTATCCCCAACCACCCCGCACCTGAAACCCTACAGAACCCTGCTCCGAACCACCCCAGGACTTGTCGGGCAGACAACCCAAACCTTTCGGCTGTGACAAACGCCTTGCCTTGTGTGGGCTGGCTACCAGGAGGCCCGCCTAAGCGAGTCACTGGCTGAGACCCACATTTTGAATGGGATTCCCGGGACTAATACACCCTGGTTGATGAATAGGGTGTTAGTGAATGGCATTAACCAATCAACTGCGATCATCCTGCCAGCAGTGACCATGTACAAGGACCCTTCATCCATTGGCACATACCATGTGCTTAGGGGTGACATTGCTTGGAGTCAAAGGCCGCGAACGAACGTCTGGGCGAGACCTTCGACAAAAACACCCAGGGCAACCATCCAACTCAAGCCGCTCCTTTTGCGCTCCATTCGATGCCAAACCTTGAGGTCAAAAAACTCCTTGTGAACCAAACCTTTGGTCCCAAACCCTGCCATCAGTACCAACCTCAAGGACATGTTCTGGGTCCTCCAGTAGAGAGGTTAGAATAAGGGTACCCTTCTTTTGTAGTCTAGTTTAGTAGGGGAACCCTCCCCAAAAAAAAAGGGAGCAAAATGGCACTATTGGGGGACCTAGCGTTTGACTAAGGCATATGTTCTGCCATGTGCCCTGTAACATTCGATGCCAGCTGCTGCCCTCCAAGTTCGGGCACAGCCCGCAAACAGAACTCAACAGCAACAAAATCATCCAAAAACCAACCTGCAATTAACCTGCAATAACTTCCATTTGCTTATGGCCCCAGGAAAAAATAAAAACATATTTCCAGTAGTCATAGATTCCCTTTAACACCAATAGGGCAACTATTTCTAAGCAAATGGAAGATAACCTGCAATACTACCAACCAGATCAAAGCTGCGAGAATTCGAGCATCAAACAAATGAAACCTGTGTTCTGCAAACCCATACGCCTGCAAGATCTTCAGAACAAGCAACTGCATGGCATGCTCAGAAACTCCGAGGTTGGTGGTTGCAAACTGGAAACCAAGAACAACTGGGACATCGGAGTAAGGGATGCTTGAAGGAAGCCCAGAAACATTTATCCCTAATCACTGTTCTAAATATCTGATTTTCCAAATCAGATCCACCTCCATTCTCTCACTTTCCAAAGAGACCGACAAAACAAATACCCTCCCAGCATGCCAACTATGGTCTGCTTGCTTCCAAATGAGCTCTGTTGAGAACTGCGCTCATATGCAAACTGCCGGAGAAGTGTGAAGCTAAAAATCGTCAGGAAAGTTGGGTACCACCCACCCTCCCTCCAATCATGGAAGCTCACAAAGGTTTGGAACGAGGGTCGCCACTCTACCTGGCCTGTCCTCAGATCACCTACTAAAAGAAAACAACCTATAGTGGGATACATGAAAACCTAACCACCAAACCAACTAAAAACACCTACAAACACCTAAAAGCACCTAAAAGCACCTAAAAATACCTAAAAACAACTAAAAACAACTTAAAACCACTAAGGAACCGGGATGATTCACTCGGAACCGACCAAGGTACCACCCCATTTCTGCAAACCGCGTAGACCCCCCCCCCCCGGCCTCGGTACCCGTTTTTGGCATCCCGGATCCGCGACAGCAGCGCCGAGGAGGGGTTCCGAGCCTCAGAAAGTTTCGGATCTCGGCTCTCGGACTCAAGTCCAAGTGTTTTTTTCCTTGAAAAACCAAAATTGTGCGTTCATTTTGGATGGCAACCTGCTTCACTAGTGTTTTCCTTCAGAGCCCAAACAATTGTGCGTCCTTTTTTAGATGGCAACGTTTTGGTTTCACTTTAAAACCACCAAAAAAAGGGGGTACCCTAAAACGTGTGAAGTTGGATTTGTCCTTTAAAGCCCAAACAATTATTATCTGGGCCCTCAGATGCCCCGCATCTAATTTTTAACTTTTAGTGGGTTACATGGAAACTACCACTAAACACTAAAAGGCTAAACAACTACGGGGATGGCTGGGAGCCACTAAGTTTTGTGCTTGTCTTAGATGGCAACCTTGTTAAATTGTGTTTTTTCCTTTTCAAAACCCAACTAATTTATGTCAACCCCCAAAATTGGGTCGTTCTTTCAGAACCCAAACAATTGCGTGTCCTTTTTTAGATGGCAACCTTTTGGCTTCACATTAAAACCACCAACAAAAAAGGGGTACCCTAAAAAAAATGAAACTGTTTTTTTCCCTTTAACACCCACGCAATTGTTGTGTGTTTGATTTCGATGGCAACTTTGCTAATTTGTGTTGATTCCTTTCAAAACCCAAATAATTATGGCAACCCCCAAAATTGGGTTGGCTTTTGTAGATGGCAACCCCCCAAAAATGTGGGGTTTCCATTTGGTTTCACTTTAAAACCACCGAGAAAAAAGGGTACCCTCAAACACACACACACACACATTGAACCCCAAAAAACCTGCCCATCTTAAATTGCGAAAATGATTTGGCTCCAGGAATGTGTCTCTTTGGCTTTTCAACTAGTCTTTTTGTGGGAACACGGATCGTTGATTCCCATCCCGATTCTTTGTTTCACTTTCAGAGGGATTCCCCAAGTGACCCTCGCTGAGAATGGCTTTACCCTTTATTGCCCAAAGCCATGAACTTCGAAGAACAAAATGAGTTTTTCCCGGGCTTGTTGTGCCCAAAGGGGCGGAACTAGAGGATTCCTCTTGGATAGCAATTAATACATGGGGAAATATGATCGACACCGTTTTCAGAATAGCCCCGATCTGAGAAGGAGAAGGGCATGTAATACAAACATGTTCCTGCGGCCGAAAACCTGCAAAACAAATACTAAACCAATTTTAAACATTCCTGGGCCAGTCCAATGCAGCACTAGGCCAATCCGAAACCAAACAAATCCGACAACATCTGCTTTCCTGCTCTGTACAGCCCCTTGCTCGGAAATGGCACTTTTGAACGATTTACAGGGTTTCGCATCAATCGTTTGCGGCTTAGAGAACGCTTCAGCCAAAAGGTGTGCTTTCTTGGCAAGCCAATGGGCAAATATCAATTTAGCTAACCCCTTTTTGAGCCCCCCCGTATGACGGTCAAATCCGCCCACCCCTTTGCCAAAACGGGTGGCGACAAATGACTAAGACTCATGTATTTTTTCTATAGCTTGGCTGGTGCTGCTGGATGTCGATTTTATTTTCTTACACAGATTTCAACTGTCGTTCGGCACCGATGGCAATGCTGGGCATGCAAAGTGGCAGCTTTTGGGAACAAACACTCCCGGCATTTGTTTGTACAGGGCAAAAACAAATTCAAAACGTGTTCTGTTTTCATCCATGGCTTGGCTGGTGATGCTGGGGTTGCGAGGGGCATACCATGGATACGTCGCAACTAGAAGGTCCGCTTGGCTTTTGTCGAGATTAAAAGACCCACTGCCATTGTCCCTCAATGAATCTTGACAGATCAGCGTTTGCCGCGCCCCAAAACTTGCAAAACTCGTGAAACTCTCAGTTCGTTTGGGCCGTTGACCTGAGATATGTTCTTCGGACCTGGGAAAATTGGAAAGCCCATCTCGCAAATGGACCGGACTGGATCCTTTTTGGCCGAACCCCAGGAATGCACCTGCTAGACTAGACTCATGTCCGGAAACCCGAGGGCCCCTGCTGTTTTGAGTTCCCCTCGAGCAATCACTGCCTGCTGAATTTCATCGGTGCAGCTCCTGGCAAACTTGGGGCCGAAACTGACAGGCACAAACGCACCAAATGTAGATTGGTGGGTATAACGCAATGCATGGCGGAATTTGTGGCAACTTGGAAACGAACGTTCACAAGGTTAAACAACGCCAATGAAATTTGAGGTATTTAAGGCGAACAATTACAACTGCATGATGTTTGACCAGGCATGTGACAAAACGTGCTTCACATGAAGTAACGCTGGACAGGAACGGTGTGCATGCGCATCAGGGCTCCTCAATGAGTCTGCCGCGCTTTCGTCCACCTTGTTGTGCAAGATGAACCTCGAAACATGAAACTGTTGCAACCAGCGGGCGGAGTAACACATTTTTTGCAA